AGTGCCCTGGTGGGTAGGCAGAAACTCAGGAGTTGTGGCTTTGTTTTAGAAACTTGGAGGAACTGAGGATGTGGGCTATGATGTTCTTCCTGCCCCTTCTTCCCCCATGAGGCGGAGCCCTGGAGGAATAGGGTGGGGTGGAGAGGTCAAGGGAAGGTCTGTTCTGGGTCTTGGGGGCATGGAGGAACCTCGGAGAGCCTCTGTCTGCATCTTCTCTCTCAGCACATCAACAGCGAGCACATCCATGGGGAGCGGAAGGAGTTCGTGTGCCACTGGGGGGGCTGCTCCAGGGAGCTGAGGCCCTTCAAAGCCCAGTACATGCTGGTGGTCCACATGCGCAGACACACGGGCGAGAAGCCACACAAGTGCACGGTGAGGCACCCGCTTCCCGAGCTCAGGGTCCCCACCAAGGGGCTCCCCACCAACGCAGGGCCCCGTTATGACTTTCATGGGCCCTAGGCAATTTTGCCTCTATAGACCCCTTCCTCCATAAACAATTATTAAAAAATAGTATTTTATGACTGTGTTGGTATAAAGATGAATATATTGATATTATATATTAGAACAGTTTCTTGGACCCAAAAGCTAATTTTTTCCCTTGATTTTAAAAGAAATTAAAATATTTTTGTGGGCCCTAGGCACTGTGCCTACTACTCTGCCTAATGGAGAAGCCCCGCATCAAGGACAGAAGACACCCCCAGGACAACCCCATCCTGAGATAGTCTAAGGCCCCCATGCAGGGGCCAGTGCCTCCAGCTACTTCTGTTCTCCCACCTCTTGCCTGCCCTTGTCCCCGAATTTGGGGAATTCTCCTGAAGCCCCAGTGCTCTCCCACCTCGAGTTATATTCTCTGATGATGTCCCTTTTGAGATTTAGGGTTCCTCTAATCTCCACATCCTTCTCTCTGAGAGCTGTCCTTTGACCCCCACATCCCTTAGTTTGAGGGGTGCCGGAAGTCATACTCACGCCTCGAAAATCTGAAGACGCACCTGCGGTCCCACACGGGTGAGAAGCCATACATGTGTGAGCACGAGGGCTGCAGCAAGGCCTTCAGCAACGCCAGCGATCGAGCCAAGCACCAGAATCGGACCCACTCCAATGAGGTGAATGCCCTGCCTGAGAGACCCTCCCCTCTTGAGAAGCCACCCACTGGGGAGACCCCCCCCCCCCAGGAAACCCCTTAGCCCAGCACCCACTCCACAGAGGTGAGTTCCCCCTGCGCATATAATTCACCGGGAGAAGGCCTTTCTGAAACCAAGAATTTCCACTTTCCACACACCCCTCTAACCAGCCGAAGGGCTAACCTAAAACAGACCCATTCGAACTAGAGGGACCCTGGTCCCTTCAGCCACTGTATTTATGAGGTCTCACAGACCTGGGCTCACCCCTCACCTTGCCCAGGCCTGGGCCGTCAGTTTTCCTAATCAACCTTGACCCTCTCATCTTTTACTCCATGGGCCCCAGTCTCCTGACTTCCTCGGGTGCTGTGATCCCCCCTTGCCCCTTGTCCTCACTCGATGCCACCCCTTCTTCCCATTCCTTCTGCATTCTCTGGCTTTGACCCCTGTGCCCGCCGTCTCCCTCCTCCACTCAACAGAAGCCATACGTGTGTAAGCTCCCTGGCTGCACCAAACGCTACACAGACCCCAGCTCGCTCCGAAAACACGTCAAGACGGTGCATGGTCCAGACGCCCACGTGACCAAGCGGCACCGAGGGGACGGCCCCCTGGCCCGGCCACCGTCCCTTTCCACAGTGGAGCCCAAGAGGGAGCGGGATGGAGGCCCCATCAGGGAGGAGAGCAGACTGGCCGTGCCAGAGGGGGCCATGGTGAGACAGCTGGGGCAACCCCCACCTCCATACCCCCGCCTGCCCTGCCGCCGTCTTTCTGGTCCCCTCACAGCCGTCCATCCCTCCTGTGGAAATTACTCTTCTGGGGCCAGTCTTCCAGTCTCCTGTCCCAGTCTTGCTCCTTGGGCTACCCAAAATCGAGGGATTTTAGTGCAATTAATTATTTAATTGGTTCACCGAATTCTTATATAGGACATATTGTATTGTTCTAAGCCTTTTACATGTATAATTTCATGTACTCCTCACAACAACTTCACAAGAAAGGAACGTACTCTCTCCACTGTCAGATGGAGAAACTCAGGCAGAGAGAAATTGCCCAAGGTCACAGCACTAAGAGCCCGAATGGAGCCCAGGCCCTCTGTGCTCCAGCCTAGGCTCTTCTCATCAACATCACTCCTCCAGTTTGCCCCTGTCCCTCACCTGCCCAGCCCTCCCTACACCTGTGAGCCTCCCTCAGCCCCAGCGGTCACTGGGACACAGCCTTTAGCCCCTCACCAAGTTCAGGGAGCTGTGGGGAAGGGGGAAGGGGGCCACCCTCAGCCCTCATCTTCCCCACAGAAGCCACAGCCAAGCCCTGGGGCCCAGTCATCCTGCAGCAGTGACCACTCCCCAGCAGGCAGCGCAGCCAATACAGACAGCGGTGTGGAAATGACTGGAAATGCAGGGGGCAGCACTGAGGACCTGTCCAGCTTGGATGAGGGGCCTTGCATTGCTGGCACTGGCCTGTCCACTCTTCGCCGCCTTGAGAACCTCAGGCTGGACCAGCTACATCAACTCCGGCCAATAGGGCCCCGGGGCCTCAAACTGCCCAGCTTGACCCACACGGGTGAGACCTGGGTGTGGCAGGTGGTTGCTGGGCTGAGATCTGGACCTTCCCTGAGGCGGAAGGGAGGACTTCACCCTTCAGGGCTTCCATACAGCATTTTTGTACAATTAGAAAAAGGTCCCCCTTCCTTAAGACACTTTCCTTCCATCTATCAGAAAATTGTTGTGATATACAAAGTCTATGATATGAATGCTGTCCCCTAGGATCATGCAGTGTACAACCTGTACAACTGTTCACAGTGGCCCTGAATCCCTGGTGACACAGAAGCAGAGAGGGCATGGGAGAAGGAGGAGACAGAACTGAGTGGTTAGAGTTAAGGAGCCTGTCCCTGAGATTCCAGGACAAGGCTATCCCATGGGGGAGGCAGGGGTGACATTCAGGAGGCTCCCTGACCACCCTGCCTTTTCTCTCCGTCACTTGCAGGCAGCCCTGTGTCCCGCCGTCTGGGCCCCCCAGTTTCCCTTGACCGCCGCAGCAGCAGCTCCAGCAGCGTCAGCTCCGCCTATACTGTCAGCCGCCGCTCCTCCCTGGCCTCCCCTTTCCCCCCAGGCTCCCCACCAGAGAATGGGGCATCCTCTCTGCCTGGCCTCACGCCTGCCCAGCACTACCTGCTCCGGGCAAGATACGCTTCAGCCAGGGGAGGTGGTACCCCACCCACCGCAGCACCCAGCCTGGATCGGATGGGGGGTCTTCCTGCACCTCCCTGGAGAAGCCGAGCTGAGTATCCAGGATACAATCCCAATGTAGGGGTCACCCGGAGGGCCAGTGACCCAGCCCGGGCTGCTGACCGCCCTGCCCCAGCCAGAGTCCAGCGGTTCAAGAGCTTGGGCTGTGTCCACACACCCCCTACTGTGGCAGGGGGAGGACGGAACTTTGATCCCCAGCTCTCAACCTCTGTCTACTCACCACAGCCCCCCAGCATCACTGAGAATGTCACCATGGATACCAGAGGGCTACGGGAGGAACCAGAGGTTGGGACCTCCATGATGGGCAGTGGTCTGAATCCCTATATGGACTTCCCACCTGCTGATACTCTGGGATACGAGGGACCCGATGGGGCAGCGACTGAGCCTTATGGAGCTAGGGGTCCAGGCTCCCTGCCTCTTGGGCCTGGTCCACCCACCAACTACGGCCCCAATCCCTGTCCCCAGCAGGTCTCCTATCCTGACTCCACTCCAGAAACATGGGGTGAGTTTCCTTCCCACACTGGGCTGTACCCAGGCCCCAAGCCTCCAGTTGGAGCCTACAGCCAGTGTCCTCGTCTTGAACATTATGGACAAGTGCAGGTCAAGCCAGAACAGGGGTGTCCAGTGGGTTCTGACTCCACAGGACTGGCACCCTGCCTCAATGCCCACCCCAACGAGGGGCCTCCACGCCCACAGCCTCTGTTCTCTCACTACCCCCAGCCTCCCCCTCCCCAGTATCCCCAGGCAGGCCCCTATCTCCAGCCACCCCCTGATTATCTTCCTTCAGAATCCAGGCCTGGCCTGGATTTTGATTCCCCCGCTCATTCCACAGGACAGCTCAAGGCTCAGCTTGTGTGTAATTATGTCCAGTCTCAACAGGAGCTGCTGTGGGAGAGTGGGGGCAGGGGAGATCCCCCAGTCCAGGAATCTCTCTACCAGAGTCCCAAGTTTCTGGGGGGTTCTCAGCTTAGTCCGAGCCCTGCCAAGGCCCCAGTGGCCACCTATGGACCTGGCTTTGCACCTAACTTGCCCCATCACAAGTCAGGCTCCTATCCCACCCCTTCACCATGCCATGAAAATTTTGCAGTGGGGTCAAACAAGTCTTCCCATCGGGCAGCAGCACCACCCCGACTTCTGCCCCCACTGCCCACTTGCTATGGGCCCCTCAAGATGGGGGGCACCAACCCTAGCTGTGGCCATCCTGAGGTGGGCAGGTTGGGAGGGGGTCCTGCCTTGTACCCTCCTCCTGAAGGGCAGGTGTGTAACCCTCTGGACTCTCTTGATCTTAACAACACTCAGCTGGACTTTGTGGCTATTCTGGATGAGGCCCAGGGCCTGAGTCCTCCCCTTTCCCATGACCAGGGGGACAGCTCTGAACACACCCCACCTCCCTCTGGGCCCCCCAACATGGCTGTGGGCAACATGAGTGTCTTACTGGGATCCCTGCCAGGGGAGACACAATTCCTCAACTCTAGTGCCTAAAGAGTGGGGAATCCTGCCCACCACAGGGAAGTCAGGAGGAGGAGCCATAGCCCCCGGGATGCCCCAGGGATGGGAGGTATGGGAGGGGGGCTGTATACAGTCTGTATATGTGTGGGGGAGGAATTTGATAATGACACTTTCCTGATAATAAAGGAACTGCATCAGAAAGGGCCCTCCTTTATGTGTTATTACCTCGAGGACGGGGGTGACAGGGAACAAGAAGAGAAGCAGGAGTTAATTCACCCACCCTCCTCTCCGGAGAAGCTCCCTCACCACATCCCAACACCTCAGGTCAGACTCACAAAGATGGAGATGGTCATCCGGGAGACACAGGATTTAAAGGGATATCCTCAAAACAGAACACCCCACCGCTGCTACACCAAAGGGTACCCAAGAGAGAAGATCATCGGAAACACATTTTCTCTTCTTCCTGCCCCAGTCAGGGGAAGAGGCTGCTGAAGTCGGTGAGCATCAGCTGGACTAGCTGTCCGGGGTAGAGAGCATGGGCTGCTGGGTCAGATGTCTCCTGCTCTGGCCGAAACAGCGTTGGTCCAAACACAATTCCCAGGTTGTGGGGGGTCATGCGGTTCTTATCTGAGTGCGCTATCACCCTGTGGGCAAAGGCCAAGCGAAGGGGCTAAAGGCAGCAGCTCTGATGCTTCAAATAAATCCAGCCCTTCAAAGGTTTGAGTGGGGAAGAGTTCCCTCTGGGGTCCCTCCAAAGAAACCAAGGAGAGAGCCTCAAGAGGAATGCAGATGGGACCAGTGGGGGAACCTTCAAGATATCACTTGAAGATGAACCTAGGACACACCCGCCTCTTCCCAGCTTCAGAGACCTCCCCTAGAGTCTTCTCTGCTCACAGTTTGGGACGCTTTAATTCAGATGGCTATCCTTCCTCAGAAGTCACTGGCCAGGCCCAGCTCAGCCAGATAAGCCATTGCCACTGTCCCAGTGGGAGACAGAGAGGCAGAGGGAAGGGACACGTTAGATTTCCTTCATTTCTCTCACAGCATCCCTGGGCTTGTCCTGGGCCCCATTTCCCCATTTGATGCTAGCTGATCAGAAAGCTTTGATCCTGATAATATGTCCCCTGCACAGAGGTTGACTGTTTCTTCCATTTGCCTACAAAACTCAGGTGTTTTCCTACCTTCCCCACCTGAACAGAGTCCATGCTACAGGCCCCGCTCCACCCTCTCCCCACATAAACAAAGATGTGCCATCTTCCTGACCTGCACAAATGCTCCAGGAGGTACCGTAGAGTGTCATGGTTGGGCTTCGGCATCGAGCCTATTAACTCTTGTATTTGAGAGAGGCACTGCTCTGATTCGGAGAGCGCTAGAGAGATAGTGATGGGCAGGGCATGGGGGTAAGGTTAGGGAAGATGCTAGGGCAGAGTGGGTAAATTCCCTCCTCTTTCCCGTGCCCCTGGAAGACATTATTAATCTATCGCAGCTTTCTTTTTCACTGAGCCCAACTGTAGCCTTCGAATTCTTTTCAATTCAGCCCTCTAAACATTCACAAAAAAAACAATTGGAGTTGGCACATGAGTTAAAAGTTATTTTCCACCTCTGTGCTCAGGATGAGACAGAAGAGTGTAAGGGAACCTGTACTCGACTCTATCCTCTACCACTCATGCCTCCCCTGACCCCATATCAAGGGTGTCACCCAGAGCTCCCATCCCTTACCAAGGGCAGCACGGAACTGAGGCAGCAGCAGTGGGGGCACCAGAGGCTGGGGTAGCTCCCTGAGAAAAAGCTTCAGGGCTCCAGTGATCACATGAATGTCATCCCACTCAGCACTGTCCAAATCTAATCGGCCTTCTGGAAGGAGTAGGTACAGAGGGGTTCAGGGCCCGTGAAGGGCCAGAGGGAGCCAGAAACTGAAAGATCAGGAGTTTAGGAGAAGATCTAGTTAAGGCAGACCACAGGAATGCCTTTGGGGTCCACAGTGGGGCAAGACAGCAGAGGTGGGGATGGGGACAACCCTCCCAGGAGCAGAACAGGGGAGAACCCACGGGGAGTAGGGAGGACGTGGGGAACTTTTAAGGGTTTGGGGGGCCTTCCGTGTAAGTACCTTGTCCTGGCTGTTCTGGGAACACATACCTCCCATCGGAGGTGATCGCCCGCTCTGCAACAGGTATGAGAAGAGATCAAGAGCTAAGACGTGCAGTTCAGCCAGAAGACCTCCCTGTTCTGCCAGCTCCCTCACTCAGAACTGCCTGCGGTTCTGAGGCATGAAGTTCTTAGTACCTCCACTTGCCCACAAGCCTTCTCACCTCTGTCCACCAGGAATCGAAGTTTCTGGACCACTGCCAAGTTGCCGCTCACCCGGTAAATGCCATCCACATCTAGACCTAGGAGATGAGGCAGGGTGCAGATAAGGATTCCTGCTCTACAGTGTGTGTGGTGAGGGCTGGTGAGGGGTCAGAGCGTAGAGAGAAAAAGGGCAGAAGGGGAGGGAGGTGGGGAATTCTAGGACTTGGCCTGTTGGAAGGGGACATTCTGGGTCTCTGGGAAAATGACCTCTCTTATCCACAGCAGCAATGCAGAGCCGCACAAAGCTGGGCACCGTGTCCCCTTCCCGCTGGCACAGTGATTCCAACTGGCAACCGAACACCTGGTCTGGGGAGGCACAGAGTGAGTGGAAAGCCAGTGCAGCCATCACCCATGGAAGCTCTTCTCAGCACAGGCCTTCAACCCAAAGTTAGGCTGACTCTCCCGGCTGCTGATCCAGGCCTGGGCAAGGAGCTACACGCCCGCCCCCCAACAATCAGCAGTAGTGGGAAAGGCAGTGGTCTCAGAAGAGAAGAAGTTCTGGGAAGCTGTACTCTGAGACTCGCTAAAGTTTTCTTGCCCATGAAATGGGCTGACGCCCAGATCAGGAATGTACAAGTGCTTGCAAAACCACTAAAGCCTGCACGAAGTAAAAGGGTGCCAGCTGGCCCAGCCCTCCTCACCTCGGAGCAGACCCCGCTCCTGCAGGCTCTGCAAGGGCGGCCTCTTCGCGATAAGCCGCTTTAGTTTGTTTCGCACGCGGTTCTGCTCGGCTCCTTCCGGACTCCGACCTGTCGCAGGCAGGCGGGGTCAGAACTTGAGAGCAGCGGCGGCCTGGGAGCCCGGAGCCGCCCGAGGCCCCGCCCCCAGCCCCGCCCCTCACCGGAGCTCCGGCGGCCGCCGAGCCGCAGCAGGGGCTTGTACGCCGGCTCCGACTCCTCCTCCTCATCCTCCCCGGCGCTCAGCTCCCCCAGCTCCGCCGGGCCCGAGCCCGACAAACGCAGCTCCAAGGGGTTCTCCCGATCCTGGACCCGGAAGGGCGAGGTGGGCCGAGGCGGAGGTTGGACGAGAGAGGAGAGAAATCTGCACCCCCAGCTGGACGCCGGGAGACCCTAACCGGCTGCTGGGGTCGCAGGTCCCAGCCCCACCCCAGGGCTCTACACCGAGATCGCCCTGTCCCCCACTGCCCCCTGAATCCTACTGCTCCTCCGCCACTCCCTCTCCGCGCCCCGGCCCGAGCCTCTCCCCAGTCTCCGGCCCGCCCCCTCCCACCCGTCTCACCAGGCGCTCGATGACCGCGCGCAGCGCGCGGTGCCAGGCCCGCAGCTCGGTCTCCTGGTCTGACTGCAGCAGGAACTCGTGGCCAGGGACCGTGCGGATCTGAGCGGCCGGCGGGGAAAAGACTTGGGTCAGCGGAGAGGAGTATAAAAAGCAGGGGGCCGAGCAGGAGGCCCGTGCGGGAAGTGGGGGGCGCACCCCCGGTGGAGTGGGGCTTTGGGGCTGCGGGGGGGGGGGGTGGGGGCGCCGTCCCCCCGCGGGCGGGGCTGAGGGGGGGGGGGACAGGCGGGGGGGGGCACTCACGTGCAGGACGTTGCGGCGGCTGGACAGGTGGCGGCCGTGGGCCAGGGCCGCTCCGCGCAGGTCCACGCTGCTTTCGGGTCGGCTACCCGCTGGTCCCTGGCAATTAGGGGAGAAACTGAGGCCTCCGCGTTGTTTCCCTCACCGCCTCTCTCTCACCCAGTGGACTGTGAGGAGATGGAGGCTGTCTCCTTCCTAACTCCTTACCTTCCTCCACACCGCCCTCCCACCTCCACCCCCACAGTTGGCCTGAGGCGGGGAGAAGTCGTGCCTGCACACCCCCCTTCTCCCCTGCCTCGCACTCACCCAGACCGAGGAGGGCGCGGGCGGCGGTGGCTGTCGGTAGAACATCAGGCTGTTACCCGCTAACACCACCCATGCTGGGCCCCAGTTCTTCCTGCAGGGGCGGAGGGGGCAGCGGTAGTAGTGCAAAGGTCACTGAGAATCGCACGGAGAGGGCGCTCTCCCAACACTCCGCTCTACCCCAGGGAATCCGACAGTCCAGGCCCCTGCAGTGTTCCGGGCTCTCCTCACCTGAGCTTGCGCCCCCCCTGGGCGATCTTGGTCATGTTGAGCAGACCCGACTTTTCCACCTCCTAGGAAGTGGAGGGAGGGGATCTAGTAAGTCACCCAGCGTTCCTCACAGCCGCCACTGCCTTCCCCATGGGGTCTCCCAGGAGTGAGGTCCTTTCAAGTTGGGAGGGTTGCTGGGTAAGAAAGGACACCCAGAGAACACTCAGAAAGAGGAAGATGTTTCTGAAGGAGCAGGAATTGGGGGGTGGGGCAGGGAGGATCTTGGCATTATGGAACTAGGAGACTTACATGGGGGTCCTCCAGGACCTGTGGCAGAGGTCGAGAGGGCTGCAGGGCTGAAGGCTGGTCTGAAGGGTCCAGCTGGGAGGTGCTCCGGTGGAGGCAGGGTGAACCCTGGGGGAGGGGATTGGAGAAACAGGTGGAGGAAACTTCAACTTCAGAATCCCTGGCTGTAGGGGGAAGAGGGGTGCAGATGTGGGTGAGAGGCAGGGGGTACGGTGGGTAATGAGGAAGAATTTCTTGTAAAAAAGAGAAAGTCATAAAAAGATGGCCTTTCCTGCATGTGATCAGGAGGTGGAGAGATCTCACCTGGGGGTCAGGCAGTTCTGGGGTCCCTGTGTCAGATCCTGAGCCCTTTGCCTGAGGTTGCAGGACACCGTTGTCCCTATTCAGGGTCTGTGTCCCATCCATGGAGCCAGGGTTCTGCGGGGGAGGGGAGGGAAAGCTACATCCAGACGCCACCTCAACCGGCTCTCAACACCCTTCTCACAATATTCTCCTGCTTCTGATCTTCTGAGAGCCCCGGAGAGAAAACACACTACTTTGGGGTTCAGTAGGGGAAAGCAGGAGATTGAGGGGACAAAGCGACAACAAGAGGGAAGGTCTCACCGTCTCTCGGGTGCGAGTGTGGCGTGGGGGCTTCCAGGACTTGCAGCCAGTCAGCGAATTGATGTAGAAGCAGCGGCCAGAGCTGGGGTCCAGGTGCTGCTCCCACGCGTCCAGCCTCTGCAGCGGGGGGCATGCAGGGCTTGGGGGCGGGGACCGGGGACAGCGGCGAAGGTCCACCAGGTTACAGTACACAGGGGGCTCTGACATGAGGGGCTGGGGTCTTGCCTGCCAGGAAAGGGGGAAGGAAGATAGTTATTCTGCCTGTGCCTCTTCCCAATCTTCTCTCCACCTAACCACTGTCTCCTCTATCCCCCGCCATTTTCTCACCACCAGCTCCTGGCTGGGGTGACCCAGGTACTGGGGGAGAAAACCCAGTCCCCGGCGGTTTTTTTTTTTTTTTTTTTGACTCCCTCCCTCAGTCTTTGCTTTTCTCCTCACTTCCTGTTGCCAACTTCCCTCCTCCCCCACCCCGCCCCCACCGAGGGCCACAGGAAAGGGGAACAGGCTTTGTGGGGGGGGGGGTTGAGGGGAGCACCCCACTCTCACATCCTCCACAGAGAAAGGAGACAGAGAGGGCTCAGAGACCCTGCTAGGGGAGGATGAGACAGGAGGGGCCATTTTCATCTACTATTAAGTAAGAGAGAGGGGAGGGGCTGAGTCTTCTGGAAGAGCAAGGGAGTTACATCTCTAGAGGGGACTTGCTGGTGACCTGAGCTGGCAAGAGAGGACACAGGGAAAACCCTGCCCTGGGCCAGGAGTTGGGAGGAAGAGAGAGAAAAGCATGGCTGGAGTGGCCTTCTTTCAGTCCCTCTGTCATCTGCCGGCTTCCACATACCCTCAGGCTCTCTGCCACTTGCTGTCCCTCAGCTTCATGGCTGTCTCTTCCTCCTCCTTATTCAGATTCAACTGAATGTCATCTCCTCAGAGATGCTTTCCCAGGTCACCTCAGTCACTCCACCACCTTCAAGCTTCTCAGTAGCACTTATCAGTACCAAGGGTTACCTTCCTTATTTGTTTATGGGTTTGTCATCCCCCTGGGAATCCCTTGAGGGCACAGATTCTGTCTGTCCTGTTTGCCGTTGTGCCTAGAACAGGGCCCAGCAGTAAATATCTGTCGACTGACCATGCTCAGGAGAGCAGTGACTCACCATGTCGGCACTGGACTCCGTCAGCAAGTCCTCCTGAGAGAGGGATCTGCTGCTTGGTCCTTCCTGGAAGGGCTGCAGGAGGGTGGGCCTCAGATTGGTAACACTGACACTTCTACACATTTTGGGGGGAAGGGGAGGAGGCTGCTCAGACGTAGCCTGGGCTCTGCCTGGGGGTTCCTGAGACAGGTGGAGCTTTTCTAGGGAGCCAGGAAACAACTTTGGCCCTGGAAACAGAGAAATGGGAAGAGGAGGGGGCAGGTGATCAGAGGCGTGATCTTGGCTGAGTCCCCCATCCTGGGGGCTCCCAGGGAAGACAAGAGCAGGGGAGTCTGTAGAAAATTACATGAGACCTGGAAGGCTTGAGACTGGGGAGAGACATTGGGGACACGTTGGTGGTGCTGAGGAGCAGGCTGATCAGAGGGAAATAAGAGAAGTGGTTAGCAGAGGCTTGGGGAGAGGGGGTCCTTCCAATAATTCCCAGAAGCCAGGGAGGTAGGAGGGTGATGGGGGAGGGCTTACTCACCAGGAGTCCAGATAGACGGGCTGGGAGTGGTGGCAGTTGGGCTCTGGGAAGAGATAGATTCTTCTGTCACATAAGCAGCTGGGACGAAGATGGGTCGAGACCTGGACGGTGCTCCCAGGCGCCTTGCCAACCACCAGTCTGAGTTGGTCTTTCGAAGCAGTAGGAACCTGTCCCCTTCAGCCAGAGACACTTGCCGGCCATCTGCCCCAGTGTAAGTGAAGGCATAGAGGGCACAGAGCTGGGATCCCCGAGAAGGGCTTCGGGGCCCCAGCCCTAGGCTGCCCCAGGTACTTGGCCACCACCGGCCTGACAGCATTGTGGTCAACACTGTCACCTGTGGGAATAAGGGGTGTTGGAGATCCAGAAAAGCACAGGACTACCTGCTTCCAGGCAGAGAGACATGGTTCTAAGAGCAGTGGCGGGGGGAAGGTAAGGACAGTAACTCTGCGGTGAGAGGAGAGGATAAAGCAGAGGCCCTGGGTGGGGGTCAGTAACAGGTTTCAGGGTCTAAGAACTCTGGGTGATGTGACTGGTGAGGAAGTATATAAGTAAGGTGAGAGAGGATGTGGTCAGCAAGGCTGCGAGGCCAGCAAGGCAGGAAATCAGAGGAGAGGGCCTAGCTCGGTGACTTTCCTCCAAGTACCTTCTGGGGCCCATCAGAAGATCCAGGGGCAGGAGGAGCTGGTCCTGGGTGGTGGTGGGACTTCTGAGCTAAACACAGGAAGAGGAGGAGAAAAAATCAGGTCTGAGACAGAACAGGCAAAGAGAAGTTAATGACAAAGATAAAAAAGTTTGTGACCCTTCATTAAATTGACACAACCACCAATGTTTCCATTACTGATCACCTCAGACCTAAAGCGGTGTGTTTCCTGTGCAGACTCAGAGAGACACTGAGACAGAGAAACAGAGAGCCAGAGGAATGGTAAGACCAAATTGGAGAGAAAGAGAAAGTAGTCAGGAGAAACACAGAGGAGTTTAGAGTTAGAGGAAGAGGAGAAAATACAGTACCACCATCCTCTCAGTCCAGGAGGTGTTTTTGAAAGCTGAGAAGCCTTAATACATTCTCCGTACATAAGCCTCTTGGGCGGGGACCTGCTTTAGTGTGTGGGTTCATTCATTCATGCTCTTACCATGGATTGGCTGAGCACCTCCTGTGTGAAAGGAACACAGTTAGGCCCTGGAGATAAGAAAGGGGAAGGAGATAGACACAGCCCTTGCCCTCTGGGAGCTTAAGGACAGATCTGAACTAATGACACAATAAATTTGTTAATTACAATTGAATCAGGGGCTACTGACAAGTAGCACAGGATGCTATGACAGCATGGGGTGGGGGGGAGATGAGGACTGATGTCAGTTTCTCTCCTGTGGAAGGTGGAAACTGACCTCCCCTGTCAATTGCCAGAGCTCTAAAACCCACACTTGTGCTACCTCCTTACCTGACCACTCCTCTTTTCCCCTTCTTTCTGTTTCTCCACTGCACAATGTGAGGCTTTCTGTCTGGCTTTTGGAGAGCTGGGGTAGGGAGTGCCCCTCCCCCTTGGTGACATCAGAGAGCCAGCTTTCGTCCTCTGACATGTGATCGGAGGGCTGGGTTGCCAGTACTGGGATCCTGCCTCACTGATCTTCCTCCTTAGTTTGCCCCACTTCCAACATGTGGAGAATCCTACCCCTCAACTCTTCCTTCCCACTTCCAAAATAGTGACCAACTTCATGCATTGATTCGTTCATCAGTGTTTTTTAGAGGTTCAAATCTCATCCTCTTCTGCCTTCTCTGCCATCTTTCCTGCACTTTATCTTCTGACTCCTTCCCATTAGCTTTTAAACATAGCCAAGTCTCCGCCATCTTTAGACAAACCTCTCTCTACTGCACTCTCTGGTTACCATCTGACCTCTCTTTCTTTCTACAGTCAAACTTCTTGGAAGAGTTGCCTACACATGGAGGTCTCCATTCCCTCTCCCCTCATCCCCTCACCTCTCAAGGTCACTCCTCACGAGGGTCACCCCTGACTTTGCCCGGACACTTTGCAGTCCTTATGTGCTTGACATCTCCACAGCAGCCAACATAGTTGACCTTTCTCTCCTTCTACAAACACTGCTGGTGTCCCTCTTATCTTTCTAGCAGTTCCTTCTCTGCTGCATAAGGAAGGACTTTGCTTGTTCCTTAAATCCCAGAGGTCTGTCTGAGATCCTGTGCCCTTTGCACTCTCCACACTCTGGTGGTCTTATTCTTCCCCCAGCTCAAATGACCTCCATGTGATGCTGAGTACCATATCTTCAGTCCAGATCTTTCTCTGGAGCTCCAGCCTAATCCACTGTCCACTGAAAAACTCCACTTGGGTATTTCACAGGTGCCACAAACACAGTATGTTCTAAACTGAATTTGTTAGCTTCCCCCACAAACCTGTTTCTCTTCCAGTACCACTATTCAGTTAAATTTACCTTGAATAAATATGTAGTGAATGCTTATACCATATGTGCCAGGTGGGAACTGCGTATTAGGCATTGTCAATTGAGATGACAAATATGGCCCCTGCCCTCTCATAACAATTAAAATACAGTGTGATAATCAGTATGACAGTGGAAATGCTATCATGTGTTGGAGCACATAGAGGGTGTACCCAACTGCCCATGCCAGAAACCTGGCAGACAACCTTAATTTCTCTTGTTTCTTCACCACTCACATTTAATTCCTATCTACCCACTTTAATCCCTACAACCACCACCCTCTTTAGCCCGGATGATATAACCTCCTAACTAGTCTTCTTGCTTATAGTTCTCCCTTTCAGTCCATTCCTAGCACAGCAGCCAGAGCGACCTTTCTAAAACACAAAAATGCCCTGCCACTCTCCTGAGTTAACCTTTCAAATGCTTCTCATTGTCCTCAGAGCAAAGTCCAGATTTTACAATATGGTTTACAGAGACTTTCTCCTTTTATCCTAGCCTTTCACACTCCCCACTACAAACTCCATACTCTACCCACACACTAATTCTTCACATTCCTAACGTGCACAGAGGTCTCTGGTTCTTTGCATATGTTGTTTCCTCTGCCTGGAACACTTCCTCTCTCCACTCTCACCAATATTCACCTGGCTAACTATTACTCATCATTCAGATCTCAGTGGAAAGGTCACTCACACAAGAAGGCCTCTCAACTCCTTAGAGTCAGGTGGGGGCCCTAACTAGGAGCTCCCACAACAAGCTTTACATCCCCCATCATAACTTTCATCATACATTAAAGATTATTTGATTTTTTGTCCTTCCAGGAAGTCTATGAGCTCTGCCAAGGCAGAAGCCTGTATCTGTTTTGTTGATAATTGTATCTTCAATGCCTTGTATAGTTTCCGGCACAAAGTAACCTCTCTGTGCCTCAGTTTCCTCATCTGTAAAATGAGAATGAGAGAACCTATCTCATAGTTTGTTTGTTTGTATTTTGTTAAATAACAGCCAATTTATTATAGATCACAATTTTATGGGGCAGAAATTGGGGTAGGGTTCAGGGGGTGATTCTTCTGTCCTATGTGGCATTGATTGGGGTCACTTGGTGGTGTTCAGCAGGCGGATGAGTTGGTCTGCAGAGCTTCACTCACATATCTGATACCTTGATGGGGATGACTGGAACGGTGGGACCAGCTGGAGCTATCAGCTAGAATGCCAACATGAGACCTCTCCAGCATGGCAATCTCAGGGTAGTAAGACTTCTTACATGGCAGCTCATGGCTACTAGAGTGTTTCAAGAAGCCTGGGCAGAAGCTGCATAAGAATATGGCCTAGCTGCAAAAGGCCCAGAACCTCCATAGAATTTTTAAGAATAAAATTAATTAATATCTGTAGAGTGCTTAGAACAGTGCCTAGCTCATAAGTACTATTAGGTATTAATTATTCTTAAAGGCATACAAAGATGAATAAGAAGGATCCCTTTCTCAAGTACTGATATGTGCTTTCCTTGTATAAATATACTTATTGGCAAATTCTTAGTCTTCTTAGTTCCCCTCAATCTAACCTTTTCCCTACACACGCTCCCTCCCCCTTTAATGAGACTGTCTAGCTGTATATGAGCTGCAGACTGGTATTAATATTTAACAGCCACATCTTTTTTGTTAATAAGATATCTTCCCTAATTTCCATTGTGTCACTTAAGTCAGTTTATCGTAACTCTCAACTCTAAAGCTCTAATTCTTATGAACTTGAATCCCAGGTCGGCCACTGGGAGCAGCCACTGTCACCACACCGCCTCCTCAGCCTCCACCAGCCCAGAGCAAACCTCGCTTTCCATCACCGCCCTCCGCCTACGTCGGAGGATGGAAGCCGGTCAGGCCCTTGCACGTAAACGTCTCCCCGGGCCCGCCCACCCAAAACGTGCCGCTCTAGCACTGCACCTACGGCCTCTCCATCTCTATGATATCCTCTTCCTGTTTCCTAGTGTTGCATGACGGGAGAAAGAGTCGGCTTCCCGGGAGGGGAGCGCTGGGAACAGCGTAAGTCGGAACTCCATTTCCCGGCGTGCCTCGCGGCGGTGGCTGAACCCGCCGGCGGAAGGCCGGTTCCGGTTGCATCAGCGTGGGATACACGGCGAAATGAGACTGTTCGTGAGCGAGGGTGCCCCGGGGAGCCTGCCGGTGCTGGCCGCGGCCCGGAGGGCCCAGGGCAGAGCGGAGCTGCTCATCAGCACTGTAGGCCCCGAAGGTAGTGGGGATGGTGCTGGTGGGCGGGGGGTGAGGGGGCGCAGGACCGAAACACGCCCGACACCCACCCCGCAGTTGTCTTCGCCAGCCCCCCACCTCCTACCACGCGCTCCTGTCATCCTTCTCCCCCATTATCCTTGTTCACCCCATTCCCTCTTCCCTCCTGGTCACATCTTTCATCAGGCCCTTCCCTTAATTACCTTCAGCATACCCTTCCCTCATCCCTCGCCTCCCCTCCTTCATGTTCCAGGACCCCGCCTCACCCCAGCGAACCTCTCTGCCCCCTTTCCAGCCTTCTCTCACACCTACCAGGCACTCCCCCCCACACACACTCTCTAGTCACTCGCGGGACAACCCCCAGGCACTCCTTTGTCATTCTTAAGAAACCCTGCTCTCCCTTCCTAAAACACAGAGCCACACACACACACTCCTTTGGGTTTACCTCTTCTCATTCCCAGCCAACTGATTGGGTGACTTTTAAGCGGTTCTCTTAATTTCCTTCTGCCACTGTTATCTCAGTTCTTGGCTGCAGCACTATCCCAATGCCACCACCTCCTCTCTTCAGTCCCCATCTGTTGTTTCCAGCTGGCAGTCTCAGCTGAACACCTGCTGGTCTCTCTGGCTAGTTCTGGACCCACCCCTTTTCAGTGGTCCTATCCTGGAACCTCTGGGTTGAGACTGCCCATCTTTCTTCCCTTTTTCCCTGAACAATGCAGGGTTGTCCTTCTGAGTTGACAAAGTATTTCTTTTCTTATCCTTGTTTTTCACCCGTTTCCCTCTCCTGCATCAGAGTGTGTGGTCCCATTCCTGACCCAGCCTAAGATCCCTGTCTTGCAACTGGATAGTGGCAACTACCTCTTCTCCAGTAGTGCGATCTGCCGGTCAGTACTGGTGCTTGATGCGGGGAGGGGGCTGAATCAAATCAGGGCTTACTGTTCTCTGTGCAGCCTTATTTGCAACCACTGTGGGGTGAGAAATGGGCTGGACAAATGGGCCCCTCTAATTCCACGTTCTGCTGTTGTCTCCCTGGGCAGATACTTCTTTCTGTTATCTGGCTGGGAGCAAGATGACCT